TAATTAAATAGTTAAATCCACAAATAACTACATGCCCTACCTGTGCCTACAATAACAAACATAACAACAGCTGCAGCTACAGCTGTAGCCGGAAGTCGGAATGGGGGAGGCTGTCAGCTCAACTTTTGTCCTCTTGGCTGAGCTCATAACGGAAAATCTTATGCTCCCCTCCATGTATCTTCTAGTATTCATTTAATTCTCACCATAAGAAATATTTTGACATTTCAGTTATTTTCCAAATGTAAATATCTCGTGGGGAGCCGCAATAAGTGGGAAAAAGTCACACTGTCTAGCGCAGGAAGTAAACACATCTCATTAGAGCCCACCACGTCCATTTTAGCGCAGAGTTTCAGAGAACGTTAATCTGAGTTCATAACTGCCCATGAAGCTGTCTGGTAGAGGCTTTATTTTTAGTGGTGAGTCCTATGCCGTGATCTGTCCCACCTGGTGAGAGGCTTGGGTCCTCCTTTTGCAGTAGCGCGCCATGCGCAGGAGCCACAGAAGGATGTGGGGTTGCCACATCTGCCTCCACTTGGATTCGTGGCAGCAGCCCATTTGCAGTGAGGGACTTTGCTCTGTTACACTTCAGTGTGACTACCCTTGATCTGATGAAGAAGGTGAGGATGTTCAGCTTCTGTACACTTTATTTTATCTTACATACATGTCGTGTGGGGAACTCTATCTGGATCTTATGACCGTCCTAACACAGGCTGGCTCTTGGTCCCTTCTGGGCTTCTGCTGAATGGTGTGGATGTGGCCTGTCTGTGTTCTGGCTGCTCTTCTGTCGCCTGGGGTAGGCTGAGGTCTGGACGTGGAATGCTGTGAGCAGGCGCTGTGAGCAATCCTGTTTTGCAGATTTCGTCTCTGGGTTTTGTTCCTAATTTTATTGTAGTTCTCACACAGGTGTTAACTCCTTCCAGTCAGAGGGCTTCACGTTTTCTATTGAGTTAGTGGCAGGTTATTCCCCCAGTGGAGGGAATCTTATGCCCCTTACTTCTGACCAGGACACTTGACTCCAGGTGTTTGCCCCTTTCTGCTGTCCCCGCTCCCCCCACAGCAGCCACCACCTCACCCCTCCGCCAGAAGAGGGCAAGTCAGAGTTTGTAAACGTGATTGGTTTCTGAGCTTTACCGCACCTAACTCTACCTATCATCTTGGCTGTTTTTTCTTCATCCTGTCGGGCAAGGGAGCGATCCCACGCCGGGGTTCTGAGGGTGGCTGCACGCACAGCCCCTGACGCTGGGCAGGTGAGATCGACAGCAGTTTATCAGTCACATACTCCCAGCCCAGGGCAGGAGGACCCTGCACGCCACGCGACGTCACTGTGGAGTGCTCCTGGGAACAGAGCGAACGGCCAGGGGCTGCAGGCTCAGTATCGAGAGGGTAGGGTGTCCCCTGGTCCCCACAGGAGGTGGTGAATGGCTTGTTTGAATAATTCCATGGCTGGCCGGGAACTGAAGCCCACTACCCAGGGAGAAGCAAGAACTGTCCCCCAGATAAAGCGGGTTGTGTGGCTGGAGGACCTCCCCTGCAGGACCACAGTGAGGAGAGCTTGCCATCGGGCCACCTGGTCATGCCAGGTGCCAAGGCAGCATAGAATACTGAGCCCGTTTTAGGTCTCACACCACGCCTAGCTGTGGTCACTCACTGGTCTGGGCTTAAAAAATTTCTTTTTTCTTTTCATTCTCATGTTTCATCTTTTACCTTCTTCCAAACTAGAAAAAACAAAATGGTGGGATTTTTGTTGTTAGATTTTCTCCCCTCTCAGTATGATATCTGAGCAGTATGAGTTCTATTTCAAAAGGGTTTGCTGTATCCCGTCCTGTGTGAGTAGATTTTTTAACTACAGACTTTGTATCAGGTAAGCAGAGGCCTCTAAAGTGTGGAAAACTTATGCCTTTTCCAGATCTGACCATCTGAAGTGCAAGACAATGTAGATAATTTTATATATATACGTATGTAGATGTAGGTTAGACAAGTGCTGGTCTTCAAACTGAATTTTCAAATATATTCATTTAAATATCAAAACTATATATCCCGGTTTGCGCTTGTGTCGGGTTCCCAAGCCCACACCCAGGTTAGTGATTTAGTAGAGACTCACAGAACCCAACATACAGTCATACACATGGCTGTGATTTGTTACCGGGAAAGGAGACAAAGGAAAATTGGCAAAGGGAAAAGGTTCATGGAACAAAGTGGAGGGAATCTAGGTGCAGCTTCCAACGCCTTCTCTCAGTAGATCCACACAGGACAAGGTGAGCTCCTCCAGCAGCAAACTCCTGTCTGCCAGGAAAGCTCATCTAAGCACAGGAGCCCTGGCCTTTTCCTGGGCGCTGATCACATAGGCACCCTCTACCTAGCATGTAACAAAAGTCCAGACCCCCAGAAGGAGAGCAGATATTCGGTATAAGCCACATTCCTTGAACAGTTAGGAGCAGTGAGCCAGTCTTGATGTTAGGGAATGGTGGGGACCTCCTGAAATTCAAGTTCCCAGATGCCAGCCAAGAGCCAGCCTCATAAACAGGCCTTTCTAGGGAGAGCGTCTCAGGCCTACTGTGCTAACTCATTTCTGCAAAGCTCCCAATAGAATATATATCTGGATGTAGAGGAGTAAAACTTCTTTCATTGGCCTTTACTTTCTCTTTTCCCCTTACAAAGTGATGGCAGAGTCAGCTTTGATTCTAGGGTGATCAGAATGAAACAGTTGCAAACAATTGCAGGTATTTTCTGAACACCCACTAAGTGCCTAGCAGTCTAGACAACAGCAGCAGAATAAGGAGACAGCCCTGCTTTCGGGATTCTTATGTATCAGCTTAAATGAATTTAACGTGCAAACAAAAGCAGTAACAATGGTTAGAAGGTGAGGCAAGGTAGCTCACAGTTATGGGGCAAGGTAACAGTTGGCCTGTGAATGAAACATTTGTGGCCAAGGGGGGACATTAACCCCCTCTGTGCATGTCTCCCATCGGCTACCACCCCCCGACCCCCGCGACTAAGCTGTGCTAACCTAGTGGCTCTTGCTTCAGCACAAGTGAAGTGGTTCTGTCTTGAGCTTCGTCCGAAAAAGCGAATAATTAAAGTGCCAGAAGGATCGTCAGACGTGCTCGGGGTGAGCAGAGGGAGGCACAAACACAGCAAGGCCGGGCTGTCTCCTTCCCAGTCTCCCCACTGCCAAAACGTTCTGCTCCCCCTTGGTTTTCACCGTCCCTTTCATTTCAAATCCTTGAAGTGACCCTTTAAAGGTTGATAACGGGACAAGCATGGTGCCAGACGCACGCCTCTCGCCGAGGTGGACAAGGAGGTTTGTGTAAGTTACTCCAGCCAAGCCAGTTTATAGGAGGAGGAAACAGGTGCTGTCCTTTCGTACAAGGGATGGTGAAGGATGGTAGCATAACAAAGTGACTATGGAGAATAGTAAAAATACCAACTTACATAATCACGTATGTTACAAAATGTCACATCTTAGCAGATTGTACCTTTTACTCTTTGAGCAAATCTGGCGAGAAATGTCTCTGGATACTAAATTTTCATATCCAAAGAACTTAAATCCTAAATTGGTGAGTATCAAGATGCTAGGCCCTAAATCAGTTTCCTACAGAAATTTGTAGGTATTGGCCCATCTGCTTTCTCATGCAGTGTTAATGTTGAGAAGTCTGATGCCTCCCTAAAACTTAGTCCTTTATTTATATCCTGCTTTCATCTTTGTATTTCTGGAAGCTTTTCAGGTTTATCTTTATTGTTGGGAAACTGAAATGTCATCAGGATATGGAATCTTTTTTTCTTCTTTCATCATGATCAGCTCTCAGCTTTGGTTTCTGAAAGTTGTTCCTTTCCTTTCAATGCTGAATGTCCTCTTCCCATTATTTCTGTGATTATTCCTTTTTCTTTATTCTCTCTATTCTACCTTTCAGTATTCAGATTAAACTCACATATCTTAAGTCGTCTCTCATGTTTTCCATGTCTCCTTTTCCATTTGGTCTGTATGTTAGTCGATTTTATCTACATTGTCTTGTAGCTCTTGATTCTACGTTCTTCCAGGAGTGGTTATAATTTGGCCTCTACAAAATTTTTAATTCAGCAATCATAATTCACAAGAATGACTCTCTTTTCACTGATTTCCCATTTATTGTTATAGTTACTTTCTGACTTATGGTTGCAATAACCTCTCAAATCTCTCTGAAATCATTAAATAATTGTAGGTATTCGTCTCTTTCCTTAATTATCTGTTTCTCCCAGAATGTTTATCACTGCACTTCTTCTTCATGGTGTTGATTTTCTTTTGCTCTTGGTTTATAAACCATTGCAAAATATAGGCATACAATCTGGCTTTAAAATGCCATGGTTTTATCAGTAAGCTGCATGACTTAGACAATTAGAGGTTTGCTTTTCTTACAAAACAAGAAGCCTAGGGAGGAAGGCCAAAGATGGTACGGCTGCCCTGACGTGGATCTGCCAGCTCTTTCATCTTTCCCTTCTGCTCCCCTTAGGGAGGGGCTTAGAGGTAATACAGGATGTCTGGGCATCAGAGGCACCATGGTCGTGTTCCTGGAAGACGCATCAGTCAGCCGATTCTATCCGCTTTAACAAGAAAATATTAACCTTCCTGGATGCTCCACGAAGTAGAATTCCATTTAAATTTCATGGGATGTAACCACCACGTGATCACATTTAGTCTTTTTAGTTAGTCACAGCATCTTGGAGCAAAATCATGAGATTCATAAGTTAAGGAAGAAAAGAAAAGTGGATTTTGGCAAGCACTAGCAAAGTCTGCTTCAGAGACCAATTCTATGATAGTGTACCGCATTTATGAGGATCAATATAATGATGGATGAGTTGGTAAGTACTATTATCAATGCACAGATTGCATTAACTCTGTGTATCTCCACCCAGCTATACATATGTATGTATACACGCACACACTCTAGCATAATATGTAATTGAATATATATTCACATTTGGAAAGATTCCTTAATAAACATGACTTTCACTTCTTCCATTAGCCAGGTAGTACCTGTGACAACCATACTCCCCAGCTGGATGGCACTCAGGAGGAAAAAGAGCCTCCAGGAGTTATCCAAACAAGTGGCCCCGTGGTAAGTTACAGCAGGGGGTTTGGAGGTAGTCATGAAAGAAGCCCTTTCTTCAAACAGTTGTTCAAAGCTTGAAAAAAATGCAACATCATTAAGATGGTTGGACAACCACAGCTGTCAACATCCCTATCTACCTTTAATCAATTTGTAAGAAAAATATTCAGCATAAACAAGCCTAAGTTTAATAGGTAAACGTACAAAGAACTGCATATTATACAAAAAACGGAATACATACCCAGAAAATATTTGTTAGTGTTTCTTTTTTGACAGACTTAGTGTCCTTACATCTTATCTTTAATTTCAGAAAATTCTCTTAGGAGTGTTAGTTCCACCGAGTTACAAGTGGAGCAATGGCAGGTGTGGTCAGGTTCTCTGCTGTTTCCTAGTGCAGGTGAACTTCAGGCATCTTAGTTCTGATACTTTAGCCCTGGGTGTCCAATTCCTGGCTCCGTCCCCATCCCTCGCTTTCCCTCAGCACCGCCTCTGCTCCTCCCCACTTCCCCAGAGGAGGGCAAAGCCAGGCGAGCCTGAGGACGATGATGAGCCTCTGTGCATGTACAGCAGGGAAAGGTTGCTTTATTTACAGTTTATCCAGGGTCTTTTCTCATGTCTGCTTCTGCTTGAAGTCCTATCCCAAGCTCCTTATAGAAAGAAAAGATATCCTGGAGTAGGAGTTTGTATAATTTATTTTCCCTTTTATTTTTCTATCCTCAGAGTTCCTCTCCTAACTTCCTCCCAGAAAGAGAAGAGCAGAATGGTGACTCCCAATAATAGGGCCTCTCTTCCCTGCTGAGACGCTGCAGGACAGAGACCTTAACTTTGAAGGGGCACTCATGTGTTGATCCCACACGCTCAGGCATTTTCCTTCGTAATTTGGAGGAGATAGTACCAGTCATTTCCAGAGTTCTCTTGCATTCTTCCTTGGTGCTGTTCTGATGAGGCGTTAGGGAGATTTTAGAAAAGAATCCACGTTATTTCTGGAATCTCGCTCTCTGACCACCACTTGTCTGAATATTGCTGGGATTATTTTTCCTACTTTTTAGTTAACGTTTTGTGGATTTTACTAGATTTTAGGAGAGAGAGCCTTGGTCATCTGGTTTAACTCTTCCATTTTATCCCAAAATTATAATAATCCCTGTTGTTTATAGAAATAATATCAAATTCATTCTTTTTGTATTACAAATTTGCCACAGTCTACTTGCTGTGGGTATTTCCGACCATTAGTTCTCTTGGATTCACCCCCCAAACCCTCAGCTTTTGAGAACAAATGAGCTTTCTCTTTCAGGAACGTATTTTGACTTTCTCAGTGTCAAAATTTTGTTGGGGCCGAGCGCGGTGGCCCACGCCTGTAATCCTAGCACTCTGGGAGGCCGAAGCGGGCGGATTGTTTGAGCTCAGGAGTTGGAGACCAGCCTGAGCAAGAGCGAGACCCCGTCTCTACTAAAAATAGAAAGAAATTAATTGGACAACTAAAAATATATAGAAAAAAAATTAGCTGGGCATGGTGGTGCATGCCTGTAGTGCCAGCTACTCGGGAGGCTGAGGCAGGAGGATCGCTTGAGCCCAGGAGTTTGAGGTTGCTGTGAGCTAGGATGACACCACGGCACTCTAGCCCAGGCAACACAGTGAGACTCTGTCTCAAAAAAAAAAATTTGTTGGGTCTTTACTTGCCTTTTAGAATGGACAAGAGATTTGAACAGGTAGTCCACCAAAGAAGATATATGGATGGCAAATAAGTTCATGAAAAGGTGCTCAGTATCAGTAGTGATTATGGAAATGCAAATAAAGCCACAATGAGGTATCTCTAGATATCCTGTAGAATGTGTAAAATTAAAGACTGACTATTCCAAGCATTACCATGGATGTGGAGCAACTATAAATTTCATATACTGTTGGTAGGAGTGTAAAATGTTTCATCCATTTGGCAGCTTCTAAAAATGTTAAGAATATACCTACCACAAGACCCAGCCATTCCACTCATAAGTAATACATATCCACAGAAAGACTCATCCATGCTATGTTATCGGCCCAAACCAAAAACAACCCAGATGTCCATCTTCAGGTAAATGGATTAACAAATTGTGGTATATCCACGCAATGGAATACTACTCAGCAATAAAAAGCAACAAACTACTGATACTCACAACACAATGGATCTCAAACTAATTATACTGTGTAAGAGAAGCTAGACAAAAAATATTCAATTTATATAAAACTATAGAAAAATGTAAACTAACCTATAGTCAGGGACAGATGATCAGTGTTTGCCTGGGCACCTGAGGGTGGGTAAGGAGGGAAGGGAAGGAGAGATTCCAAAGAGGCCTGAGGACATTTTTGGAGATGTTGGTCTTCGTTCTTTATCTCAACCATGGTGATGGTTTCACAGGTTATATATACATTTGTCAAAACTTATCAAAACTCTTCAAATTGCACTTTATGGGCAGTTCATTGTATGCCAGCTAGATCTCAATAAACTTTACTGTTAAAAATGAGTCCACTTAATGTTTTATGATTTCATTAATAGCCTACATATTTATTTTGCAATAGGGTACTTACAATGAAGACTCATATTTTATGTATTACATGTGATTGACCCCTGACTCTAACTCCCAAATGCCACTAAACCCAAGCATTTACAAAAGGTTTATAGTCCATTCTATGATTATCAGAAAACTACTTTACAAATCACTTCTTATATAGATAAAAGAAGACATTTTCTCTATGTGCAGTTGACATAAATGAAATATTCAGTTGAGTTAGTTTATTAAAAATGCGCAATAATCACTGTAGTTTATTTCCAGTGTCTTAAATGAAAATCAGATACCTACACTGCTATTGATTCATAATTCCCTGCAAAATACAGTCATACCATCTGTTAAAAATCATCAGTTAGACATCTGTGTTTGCTTCATATAAAAGAAAATCTAGGGAACCTTGATTTAAACAAGTAGAAGTTTGTTTTTATCACAAAACAAGAAACTGATGGGGGTAGACCAAGGCTGGTATGACTGCGAAACAATGCAGTGGCTACCTTTGCGTGGACTTCCAACTTTTTCCTTTTCGTGTTACTGCCTTAGCATGTGGATTTAATCTTTATACTCACCAGGTGGTTAAGAAACTCTGGATACTGTGTCAATATCCCATTAGGAACATTTGCCAACTGACTGTCAATTTTTAACAGAAAACCTTAGCTGTCCTGGAAACCCGTACAGTAGAATTTCTCTTATTCTTCACTGACAGACTGTTACACCCTTAGTATGACTTTATGGTGTTGTTTTTTTGTTTTTTTTTTTTTTCTTATTTTAGTTGCTGAAAGGCATTTTATCTCATGTTAGTCTGTTTTGTGTTCTGGATTTTCTCAACTTTATGTTTCAGAGTAGACATTTTTTCCTTATCGCATCTTGGTCTTTTGGCTAAGATGAAATGTAGAAATTTTTTTCTGGATTATTATTTAGCTTTTCTCAATCTTTGTAAATTTCAGCAAACGTATTCTTATTTCCCAAGAGCAACTTTTTTCTCTCTAATATACTTATTAGAGCAGTATGTTCTTGATTCAAAGCACCAACAGCTCCTTAAGTCTCTTAGAAGGTAAGAAATTATTTTTAGGAAATCAAATTATTTTTATGTGTTTTTTATTGAAGTATAACTTAACTAACAATAAAATGCATACATTTTAGGTGTATAATTCAATTGGTTGTAACAAATGTTTTCACCCATTTGACCACAGTTAATCAAAATATGGAACATTTCTATTGCCCCAGGAATTTTTCTTTTTTTTTTCCTTTTTTTTTTTTCATAACCTCTCTTGTGCCCTAATTCAGTGAATAGGTCTTCTGATTATTCTCTATCTGTTTTTATTTAAGGCTTTTAAAAACCTAGTTTCTTAAACAAATTATTGATATAACATCCTGTTACCCATTAGGATCATTCATCCTACAACAGTAGACACTTGTGTGCCAGACATTATACTAGGACACTGGGATGGAGTGAGGCTGGAGTGGAGAGGACAAAGGGAGGTGAGTTTGGAGGAGTAGATGGAAGCCAGACAATGAGAACCTTGCTGGAAATAAGGATATTTCCAACAAGGAAACATATAATATATAAGCAATGGAAAGCTACTAAAGGGCTTTAGGCTGGAGGATGACTTCATCAGATTATGTTTTGAAAAACACCATCCCAGATATTATGTATAGAACGCCTTGTGGGCAGGGAACTGTAGTTAAAGCCAAGTGAGATACCAGTAAAGCTAATGCAGTGAACTCCATACGACCTAGTGGTGTGGGTGGTCTAGCTTGGACAAGGGAAGTCAAATTTTTCTCAGGCCCTTTTTATTAATAGTCAGTGGTCCCCCAGCCCCAGCCCCACAGAGGCAAGCCATGCTGTAATTTCTAACATTTTAGCTTGGTTTCATCTTTCATATGTGTCTAACTATAAATATAATATGCTCTTTTGCATCTGGCTTCTCATGTTCTTCATAATAATTTTGAGATTCATCCATATGTTGCATATATTAGAAGTTTGGTCCTTTTTTTTACTAATAATACTCCATTGTATAAATAGACCACTGTTGGTATATCTAGTCTCCTGAGGGATGGACATTTGGATTATTTCCAGTTTGGGGCTATTATGAATAATGCTACCATGAGCATTTATGTAGTATAACGGATATATATTCTCATTTCTCTTAGGTAAAGATGGCACATAATTCAGATTGTTGGCAAACGTAGCTACACACACCCCCATCACTCATAGCTCTTAAACTCAGCAAGGAATAATTTAATAGGTAAATCCAAAATAACTAAATTCTATCTTTTAAAAAATATCTATAGGCAGAAACACAACAACAAAAAATAGTTTTTTATTGCATATCTTGTGTGGAGGATGTTGTCAACTAAAGCTTGGTCTTTATGGGTGAGCTCACACAGAAAATTAACAAACTACCATGTAAATTTTTTGTTCAATATTTTCAGTATCAACATTGATGTAAATATTTATTTTTCTCCAGTTATTTTCCAAATGTAAACATCTCATGTGGAGAACATGTTAGCTTTTGAAATGTGTCGCAACAAGTGATGCAAACAGTGAAGTGTCTACCCCAAGTGTGACCGTCTGCTCAGGGAACCACATACCTCCCGTTGGGCGGTACTGTGTGTCCTCAGGTTGTAGATTGTGCCCTTGGTGGAGGGAGAGCTTCTGACCAAGACTATGGATCCTAGGTGTCTACTCCAGTCCAGCTCCCCAGACCCCCTCTTTTCCCTTACTGTGGGAATCCCATCACAGCAGGAGGGTGACGGATCCACCCAGAGAATCCACCCAAGGACACACAGTGTGAAAGATGTTCTACAAGGCAGAAACTATCAGCATACCTGAAGGTGGAGCTACAACTCTCTGTGTCCCTGAAGTTTTCTGCAGAGGCATTGCACTGGACTTTATTGATTTTTCGATTGTTTTGTGTAGGGAATTGTATGTTTCCTTTACAATTGAGTAGATCTATTTTCCCAAAAGGCCAAAATTGTTGATTATGTACTCACGTAAGTGAGTGGAGTGTGCTTAGCTTTAAGTTGTTTTGGGGGTTGGGTAGCTTAGCACATACTGTCCGCAAATGCAAAACGAATGAAGGAGATGAAGAGCTCTAATTTGTTACTTCCAGACAAAGTTGATTTCATTTTTTGTTCCCCCACCATGTCTTTTGTTGTGGCTTCCAGAATTCCTTCTTCCTTAGACTTGTAGACTTGCATACTCAAAATAGGAGCCCATCCACTCCCAGGACAGTTCATTTTATTAAAGTGTGGAGTTTTTTTTTTGTTTTGTTTTTTTTTTCGAGACAGAGTGTTGCTCTGTTGCCCAGGCTAGAGTGAGTAGCGTGTCATAACTCACTGCAATCTCCAACTCTTAGTTCCAGCTTTATAAATGAAAAAACAAGCTGGTACTGTTGCTGCGGAATTCTCTTTACTACGAAAGACAGTCATAGAATCTGCTGAAAGAAATAAAATAATAATGTGAAACCAATTAAACTTGTGTTTGGCTACATATAATCAAAAAATAGAAGTTGTTTTGCTTCACATGGAGAACCTCAAGATAAGTGGTCCACGTCCAATAGGGTGGACACTGTCCCTGCCTTCCTTCCCGGTGCCCATCGCCCCTATCTGTACAAGATGCCTGGCAGCTTCGGGCTGTCATCTGTGGTCCTGTTGTAAGCAAGTACCAGCTGGCCCTATTCTTTTTCTTGGTAAACACTGTTGGTAAAATTCCACTTACACTTCGTTGGCCACAATTTTCACATGATTCTTCTTAGTTGCAAATCAGCCTGGAAATCAAATTTTTTGACTTAGTACCTAACTCCCTGGAACTAAACCAGGATATTGTTAAGACAAATAGAGTTTGAGGCAGGCAAGAGCAGTGTCTGCCACAGAGGCCAGTGGTCCGAGGGCCTGGCATCCGGGTGGCTCAAGGTAGCACTGCTCTAATGGCGGGATGCTATTGTCCAAGCACAGGCAGTCACAACTGCACATATTGCCACACATATTGTACATTTTAGAAAGTATTGCCTAAGTAAGAATGGTACTTTTATTTCTCCATTTAGCCAGATGGTGCTTCTCTCAACAGTACTACACTGTCTGATGCATCCCAGGATGAAGAAGGGAGTTTTGCCGTTCCCAGGAGTGGCTCCGTGGTAAGTCATCACGTGTTAACATATTTGCAAGTCAAGGCACAATTGTAAGTAAAGGCAACTGGCATAGGAAGGTAAGAAGAAGCGATTGCTCAAGACAGGTTTTTTTTTAAAACTTGTACTAATATTACAAAGAAACCACAGCTGATGATAGATCCCTCAGCTTTGTAACAATTAGGAAGAAGGAGTCCCAAAACTCAGGAGTGATAGATCTCAGTTTAAAAGAGGACACCATGAATTAATACCACTGCAGCCAGAAATCAAAGGATGCTCTTCACATGCAACAGGTGTGGAGGGTTTTGGCTGAGTTCACACAGAAAATTACCAGAGGTCTGATGATCTGGTTTAACTCTGCTGTCTTAATTCAGAAGTCCCTTTTACCCACAGGACAAATTAAAAATCTTCATCAGATATCAAAGGCTCTCCGCTATTGCCTGCGTTTCCAGCCTTATTTCTCAGGACTCCTCCATGCAAACCCTTTCTCTTGAGACAAATTCACTCACTTGGCCTTGAGTAAAAGAACTTGTACTTTTCTTTGTCAAACATTCTTGTCATCCCCTTCTTCTCACTCCCACTGGGAATTCCCACTTGGTGTGTCTGAGCAGGTGCTCTGGCAGGGGGTGTAGCATAGGCAGCCCCCTCCCCAGAAAACAGTGAGATGCCCTATTAGAGGAGGCAGTGGTTCTCCAATGGCAAGTTGGTAGAAGGCAGCAGTTGGCACAGTAGACAATCAGATGGAGGTGGCACATTCTAAGGTTCCTCTGGGGCAGTTGTTTCTCAGTCATTGTCCATCTCGAGGAATGCATAGCTCATGTTCACATGTCACTCCCAGGATGTACCCATTGTTTAGGGAGATAATGCTATTAACCCCATAGAAATTGGCTTTTCTGCTGCGGTTGT